GAGAAAATTCGCAAATCTGGACTTTCAATCAAAACATTTTTGACATTCTGGTCATTTTTGTCCAGAAGGATATACTTTATTGAGAACATTTGTTTTAATATTGGATTCGAACGGTAAAAGGGTTTGTAATACATACCAGCTGACAAATGGATTTCGTGTACAAGTAAAGGTAAGACCATAAACTTTTATTCTTTCTAGCTAGAAATAAGCCCAATTGGAATAAATTTTAACCTCAAATTAAATATGGGTCACGTTTGTGTGAAGAATGCTGATATGAGATATAAAACATAACGCATTGTCTGTTAACAGACTATTTGTATTTGTAAATCTGACTGTAAAAGAGTCAGTGCCTCACCAGCTGTCAACCTCACCACACGTCACTGGTGCACACACATACCAATCATAGGTATAAAACATTGCTAAATTTGGCTGCATTATAAAAGCCAGATGTAGTACTAAATGAAGGGCCGTTTGGGAGGTGAAAGAACCCACTCTTATTGCTGGGCTGAGCCGAAAGACCCGACTCATCACCAATTAAAAAGTCAGTATTCCATTGCCCGGCCCCCTGCCTCGCGGCTACCGTAGATCTAGCGCCACCTGGTGGGCACGGCATTGTGGTTTCCTGTAAACAAGTTTGTACGTTAGGTAACTGCAGCCTGTGAAATAAAGCAAGTAGGAGCAGCTTTATTAACTACAGTCTAACCCAAGAAACATCTAATGAATCTAATAAAAATCCGATTTAAATGCAGTGACCAGAACAGGAAGTGCAAAGTATTCGGGGAAATTAGGCACCGCCTCTCTACTGGCTTTCTTGGGGGCGTGCTCAGGTAGGGGCTAACAATCGGTGTACATGTCTAAGGCGGATGCTTTATTGTGGTGAAACACTTGCGAAAGCTACTCACAACAGCACTTCAGTCTTTTAACAGGGTAAGAGCAAAAGAAACTTCTTTTAGATTAAGAATTTGATATTTTTACTTGGTAAAAGGTCATCTGAACTGTAAACAGCAGGGTTTGCTTTACATTTGGATTGCTTCGATTAAAGCAAATGTTATATTCATGCATTGTAGGCTAAATTGTTCTTGTAAAATCCCCACTGTCTATTCTCTGTATCCCCGATTTTCGGATAAAAAGGTGGTTTCTAGTTGATACACTATACAAGCTAAACGAAACTGAAAGTAAGCAAGTGTTTTTTATAAATCCTATTGTTTATGACCAGTGGAATAAAGAAAGAATCAGGGACAACTCTAAATGAAGAGTCGTACTTCATGAAATAAACGGAAACAGTAGTGAACGACAGTAGACGCGTTTTTGCTGCTGTGAATCAGCCCCAGTGAATTTTTTTTAAAGTTTTAAATCTCACTAACGTTAGTTTTTACAACTACAAGTTCATTTAAAAGCTATTCTGCGCATGTTTATTATACTCTGTGTGACATGTGATTTTGCAGCATTTAATGCAAGAGTATCAGTTCTGATTTTAAATGGGAAGGGGGATTTCTCAACTAGCCTACAGTTCGCATTTCACTTTCCTCTTTTTTGACTCTCTGTGTGGATGTGTTTCTCCCTTGTGTGCAGATGCTGAGGCGGGTTGTGATCTGTTGGGCTCTCCTGGCCTTGGTTGGTGCATATGAGTGTCCAGATGGTGGGAGATGTGAAGAAGGCCAAACCTGCTGCAACGACCCAGCCAATGGCTATGAATGCTGCCCATTTGATCAGGTAGATATGTCCTATCATCTTCCCCTGAGCAGACACACTGCTACCTAGCACTGGGTTGGAAGAAAGTAATCACAGCAACTCTTCTTTTGTAGAAATACTATTGCAATCCATCATCTACAGTTTTCTCCCTTTTATTGACATTTTACAAGATACTGACAATTTTAAATCCACATTTTCTCCATAAATTTCACCTAAAGTATCTTCACGGTAAGGCAACAAAAGGATACATTAAGTCACAAATTTAGATCAACATTTTCACATTTGGCAGAAATATTAACAAATAAAGATACAATATTTTTTAGTGATGAGTGTAGCTTGTGCATAATTTTATACAGAATTCTCCTTAATACATATATTCATGCATAATGTATTTAGTAGGCTATCAATGAAAAACTTCCAGAAGTTAACTAAAAACAGTTTTTGCTTACAACCTGCATTTGTAAGGAGAGACTGCTGGTCATGGTCTTGGATGTTAAATTTGCAATTTTTTAAAACTTTTATTTAAGTAGATTTTTGGAAAATGCCATATGTATATTTAGTCCAAATGCAAGAATCCAATTTATTTGCATTTGTTTTGCCATTTCACATTTTTTAAAGCCATAGAAAAGATCATTTTGAATAAAACATTGTGGTTTCAACAAAACACAGTTGCCCTCAGCTAAACATCTAAAAGTTTAATTAATATTTACCACTTTAATGTTTTTTTTTGTATTAGCAAAATATAAATTTAAATGGAAAAACATATTGGTAATTTTGTTTGTTATCACACACATAAGGTAGCAGTTAAATGCTGCCATAAAATAGAATACCCTCATATACCCTGAAGTTTTCTGAAAAGTCTGTGGTAAGGATGATTTGTCCTAAAAGCAGTTTGTCCAAAAACACAAAATGATCTATTACAGACCACCCTGTCAGCTTGAAAATGTTTAAACCCTTTTCAAACAATCAACTTTAACAAGATAAACCGTAAGCAAAGTCATAGTACTTCAGTTTCAATGCAATACTTTGTTCCATTGTCCATCACATAGTTAAATGTTTATATGAGATATCCATTATCTTTTTCTCTGTAATAAAAAGAGTTCAGGCTGTACAGTGCTACTATTCATCCTCAATGGTGTGTTACTACTTTATGATTCACATAAAAGCACTAGCCTCATTTAGCCTGAGTGATAGCCGTTTTGAAACTTTGGTAGTCAAAGTGTTCCAATTCCTACTATCCCCATAGGCTGAGTGTTGTGAGGATCACACACATTGCTGTCCTATGGGCACAATCTGTTATTCAGCCAAATCCAGCTGTGTGAATGCTACTGTGTCCATCCCCTGGGCAGAAAGAGCCCCTGCTGATCAACCCGGGCTCTCCAAAGTAAGAACAACAAGCATCAGTTGTATCTATCATGAGTTCATGAACATAGATGAAATCCTGAATAGGAATTTAATGACCTGCCTGCTGTGGGGTTGACCTTCTTCCCCACTTTGTCCCACCAGTCATTCAGGATGATTAAGTCATACATGGGCGAGGAAGATGACAACATCTGTCCTGATCAGTCACGATGTCCGCCTGAGTTTTCCTGTCTGCGGGCCTTGACGAGATTTGGCTGCTGTCCCCTGGCTCAGGTAAAACCTTGTCCAGCACAGATACTACATGCAGCCTGTAGAATTTCCAATTACCAATATGTTATTCTTAATTAATGGTGATACTTTAGTACAAGTATTAATGAAAACATGAATTGTTCTTGATTTCCTGACCTCTGACAGGGAGTCCCTTGCTCTGATGGAAAACACTGCTGTCCCGAGGACCACAGGTGCAGTGCAGACGGCCGCTTGTGCGTCAAAAAAGGTAAATCCTTTCTATTTACTACCACCATATATTACTTGACATATTAGAAGACTATCTGCGGCTTTCTGGTACAGCCCTAAACTGGTGTGAATCCTGTCTATAGGATAGGGACTATTTTGTTTCATTGAGTAATTACATATCTGATTGTACAAAAATAATGTGGAGTTCCCCATGGCTGTATTCTTGGGCCTCTTCCATTCAAATCTACATGGTCCAAGTAACAAAATGTTTTAACCTAATGATATTACCAGCTGACTCTGGTCCCATACAAGCACTCATACAAGTGCATTTACAAATCAGTGGCTGGATGTGTTAAAATAAAGATAAAAATGATATAATTGGTTTTTGTATCACAAAGTAAAGATTAAAAAGTTAGTGCATCTGTCACATAATTTATATTTTTTAATGCTGTTATGAACATCCAGAACTCTGGACAGGTCTGCTGACTGTCCCCAGAGTTAAAACTAAACAGGAAGAAGCAGCTTTCATACACCACATATTTCTGTATTGCCTTGCATTACCTATGTATTTGTCTCAGTGCCTTTTTATAATATATGTGAAACACTTTGAACAGCCTTCTTTTTGAAAGGTCCTATGCAAATAAACTCGGAGTACATTTGCTTACTCCACCAAGAAGTATACCATCATCTCCAAACCCCTGAATTATCATAGAGATATTTTTAAATTTGATGTTCTTGTTATGCTGTTACAGAGCTTGTGACTACAGTTCTATGTGGTGATGGAGTGTCAGAGTGTCCGGATGAAACCACCTGCTGTGAAACCCCAGAAGGCAAGTGGGGTTGCTGCCCCCTGCCAAAGGTACAAAATCTTTCCTTTACAGACTTGCACAATGGTGACAGCTGTTAAATGCTAATGTTAAGTGAGATTATGAATGAATAAGAAGTCAAGTGATGGATTTGCATGCCCTGCCTTTGTGCCCACGATATTGTGTGGCTGTGAAGTGATAGACATCACGATATTGTGTGGCTGTGAAGTGATACTCCATGTGACTTCCTTGTCTGTACAGGCTGTGTGTTGTGAGGATAAGCTACACTGCTGCCCTGAAAGCAGCACATGTGATGTTGAACATTCCAAATGTATTTCCTTAACCACCAAAAAAGAAATGCCAATGTGGGCAAAACTCCCTGCCAGGGTAAGGGCAGAGTGGGAGAACCAGAAAGGTCAGATTGGCTTTTGTCTTTCTGAAACCAACAAGATATTTTGTGTTTAGTCATATGCATGGTCATACACTCTAACCTGCATGTTTCCACAGGCAAACAACCTACTGCACAGGCAGTTGATAATGGTGGATCTGAAAAATCCCCTGAAGTCACCACTGTGAATAAAGTTCCTCCTTCAGAGAAGGAAGTAATTGTATCATCTGTCACAAAGGCAGCTGGGGGTAAGATTTGAATTTTCTATCAAAATATGTAGAACAAACTGCATACCTAAAAATAAAGTCACAGTACCTTTCTCATGGGAAGATATTTTGGTTGTTGCAGCATTTCCTGGTCAAGAGAAAACGTATGCCCAGAGAAAGACCTGTTGAGGGTAAAATTAGGTTTTCTGTTACCATTGACTATCTGCTAAATAGTATCTGTGTCATATCTTGGTAATTTGATACAAGAGGTTTAATAGGGTTTTTCAAAAGCAGCAGTATGCTCTGTGTCTGTCAGATGAAACAAAAACTACTACATTTTTCCAGGGTGCATTTCTTGTATCAATATGTTACCATGCTGGTCACTTCAGTTTTAACATTAAATGTAAAATTAATGGTTTACATCCATATTTGCTCACTAGCAGTTTTAGTTTTTCCTTGTCTCTATTGGTGCATTCAAACTGACTGACAACTGCCACTGTTCCAAAGTACAATAGTGCGGTTACACAAATTAATTACTAGAATTGGTCTTACCTGTCCTGGCCCAGTGAAGTCATTCAAAATGTTCGATTCAGCTGTACATTTTCTGAGCATGATGGCAAAGAAACAGGTGTGAATTTCCCCCACAGTAACTATTGATATTTTTTGTAGGCAATGATGTCAACTGCAATGATACGGTAGCCTGTCCAGATGGGAGCACATGCTGTAAAACCAAAGATGGAGACTGGGCCTGTTGTCCTCTTCCAGAGGTATGATTTTGTTTGTTTTTTTCCTTAAAAAGGTTCTAATTGATTGTGCAAATTGTTACCAGCACATGAATGATTTATTACCTGTTTGATCATGTGATCCACAGGCTGTTTGTTGTGAAGACTTTATACACTGCTGTCCAAACGGTCAGAAATGTAACCTAGCTGCTGGGACATGCGATGACGGCAAAAGCTCTGTGCCGTGGATGGAGAAGGTACCTGCAGTCTCCAAGCAGGGTGCACAGGTGCAGGATGTTCCATGTAACTCCACTGTTAGCTGTCGAGATGGGAGCACATGCTGTAAAAACAAAGATGGAGACTGGGCCTGTTGTCCTCTTCCAGAGGTAAATGTATTGAACAAGCACACACTGATGATATAGATCTTAGAGTACACTTCCCCAGATTCCCTTGCCACCTGTGATGGTGGCTATCACTCACGCTCAATACACATTTCTTCTGTCTATTCAACTGTCATAAATGTAAAACACAAGGCTTTCTGATGATTGTTTTCTGGAAATACCTAGTAGACATTGCATGTGCAGCACATTTTGCTTTTCTACACATCCATACAGTTTTAACAACCAAGTGGATAATAGTCTACATTGTAAAATGGGAATTTATTCAAATGAAAGAATCAGACATTATTTCTTTAAAGGCATTATTTGACATTTTGTTGAGAGAAGAGAAGCTCAGTACCAGTCACACGCTTGTAATGGTAAATTTGAAGTTAGCACCAGTAAGCTCTGTAAATTTTTGCATAAAGAGTAGTTAGTTTAAAGACAGTATAAAGAGTACTTAGTTTAGCACAAAGTCTTGAAACAAGGGCTGCCTGTTGTACAAAATGTGTTAATTTGTGATTTTAGAGGTGTTGGCATGTGCATTTTGTCACCTCAGAACAGAGCCAGGCTAGCCTTTTCCCCCTGTATTCAGTCTTTATGCTAAACTAAGCCAACCACCTATTGGTTGTAGCCACATATTTATCATATTGTCATATCTGACAATTGAACTTGAACTTGGAGTCACTTTGACTGACTCGTCTCTCACCTTATGCAAATTCATTAAAGTAACTGTCACTTTATGTATGGAACTGAAAGTACTGTTGTCATTTTCCATAAAAGGCGGTTTGTTGTGACGACCATGAACACTGCTGCCCTTCTGGTTGTACCTGTGACTTAACCACGGCCACAGTCGTTTGTCAGTGCGCCTCAGGCTCAACTCCCACGAAACAGAAGACGCCTGCATTTGCTACAGCAGCACCCGTTACAGTTGCCACTACGACTCAAAGTCAGTTGACAAGCACAGTGCAAACAGAGGGGGAGAAGATGGAGATGAAAACACCGGAGACAGAAGAAGACAAGGAGAATAAAGAAGAGGAGGGCAGAATTCAGTGCGATGCCCACACCAGCTGCCCTCAGTACAGCACCTGCTGCTTAATGACCTCAACTCATAAGTGGGGCTGTTGCCCGCTGCCAGAGGTGAGCATCTTCAAAAGATCACAGTGACTGTTTCTGAAATTTAAAGCTGCAATAAGACAAATACAAAAGCACAAAATTATCATTAAGGACACACTGCCAGAGCTCAGGATGTCATCTTCCAGTTGCATATTTTGTGCAACCAGCTAAAAGGCCAGTGTTATTTTCATGACATGAAGTAGAGAAAAACCTCAAATCATCATAATTGACAAGGTGAATCCACAAGTGGTTTTATTTGATAACTTGCTTAAAATGATCTTCTTTACTTTATTCATTTATTCATCAGTACAAGCACAAATGAGCTAGACAGTAATCGGAGAGCACAAACCTCCACCAAGGCAGCTCACTGTCTCCATCAGGCCATTACACCTAAAAGCAATATTGTCATGATAGTTTGACCCCCACAATATCATTCCTTGACCATGAAAACCTGCCCCTACAATTTGAAATCACATTGATGTCATTATTAGTTTGTAAGTTATTCATGAAAAACATTATTTCACTAATGGCAGTTTTCTTCAGGATCTAGCTCAGCAACGTTTGAAGATATGTCAGTGTCAGTCGTCAGTGTTAACTTTATTTGCATAACGCTATACTTCCTCTTCTGCAGTGGCATACTGTGTCAACTCTGATCTCTTGTGTTGAGATCTGTCTTTTACTGACAACGCAATGTAGTTTAAAACACAACATATCAGATATTGTCATGGATAGAACAGTGAAGTCCTAGACTTGTTAACATGGCTGCCCCTGGTGTTTTGATAGTCTATCAACCTTTGTACAAGATGGAGACATACGGAAGAGGATTGGGGCTACTGGACAAGTCAGAACTCAAATAAATTTTGTACCTAATCCTCTTCTGTAGAGACAGGAGATTTTAGTCTGACATGAAAAAATACAGCAAAACAAGAATCAGTCAGACAATAGAATCTCAAGAACAACCAGTTAAACAAATGTATGACAACACATCATGAAAGTTGTGACACCAGTCACCCATCCTGTCCGAGCATGCAGATGACTCACCAGTTACCAGGCAGGGTGCTAATACCTGTAGACTGTTTCTATCCAGCAAGTATTCCTTCCTGGCTAAATATCTTGCTGTGGCATTGACTTACTTTAAAATTACTAAATGTACTTTTAAAACCGCTGGAACATCACCTAGGTTGTTTGCAAGGATTCAGTCCAAACAGTTACCTGTGCATTTATCAAGTATATTATCTATAGGTCATTCTGGCTGACACACTAAAGATATAGATGTTATACTTTTACTTGTACAGTATTATTGCAGCATTCATTTTAATGATACTCTAAGTTTATCCTGTTTAGTTCTGAAAAAAGGAGAACTAGAAAGTGATACATGATGTGAAAGTACTACTTCCCCTCACACTTCTCCCCAGGCGGTGTGCTGTGCTGATGGGAGCCACTGCTGTCCCGCCCACTACAAATGCAATGAGGAGAAGACCACGTGCACTAAAGGGGATGTGGTGATCCCATGGTACACCAAGCTTCCAGCCTCCAGCAGCGTTCAGACTGACGCCAGCTCTGTGCAGTGTAAAGACCTGAGTCACTGTCCTGAGCACAACACCTGCTGCCAGCTCTTCACGGGCGAGTGGGGCTGCTGCCCTCTGCAAAATGTGAGCATTGTGTGTGCCTGTGTGTGTGTGTGTGTGTGTAGATATTAGTGTAAGAAAGGAAGCTACTTTGACATGAAAATAAAAGAAGCACAACACATTAATACTGTCAGGGTTTGACAGATTATTTTTAGTATTTTTACACTGTGGTATTGTTACTTGAATTGATTTGAGTACTTCTTCCACCATTGTTTTTGCTTAAGATAATTTTTTATTTGTAATACAGTAAGTTCACACCATAATAATCTACTTTTCCTGAACTCCCTCTCTCCCCTTCATAGGCGGTGTGCTGCAGCAACATGAAGCACTGCTGCCCCTCTGGCTATACCTGTAATGAAGATGGCACCTGTGCCCAGAACACCTGGCTTCGCTGGCATAGCTGGTATATGTTCCTCTCCAACAAAAAGAGAGCTCTACTTTTGTGAACATCAAACCTGCACTGCCATTTAATTATGCATGCAGTACACTGATGAAAGATAATACAAAGGGATTTTATGATAATTTTTTAAAATAAATACTTTGCTCTTAAAATAGGGGACTGTGATAGTGAAAGGGACACTGGAATTGAATTGCACTTATAATGTTTTGTGTTCTTAAAGTTGCAAGTTTCTATCTATTCATGTAAATCATATCAGGTCATGAATAGGTGGATAACTCTTTATAAAAGCCAGATAGATCCTTGTTATACCAAGAACACAATTTGCTACTTGACACTCTAGTCTATCCACAGTAAACAGAACTGAAACACTCCACAGGCGTTATGATGTTATTCACTGTCAATCATCTTTTCTGTCACTGTATGTTCTGCTTCAACTGCCTCTAATCATAACTGCAATAGTAATAATTTGGAGCACACAGTAATTCTGCAGTGTGATTCCACCTCACGATGAAGGTACAGTTGAGTTTGTGTCTTCTATTCACTCTGACAGTTTCACAATTCATTAAAGTACAGCAGTTTATCTGAGAGGTTAGATCATTTTGGGGAATCTAATGAGTAATTAATGTGTCATCTTCCTGGAATGATTTTAAAATCTTAAGTGTTTTGATTTTGTGCATTTTATGTTCATTTGTTTGCCATGAGACAAACATGCTTGGTGCTTGGTTGGGCAGTCAGAGAGCTACAATTTCCATAAAACCAATAAACAAGATATGACATTACAACATTAGGACTTGTCAAATTATTCTTGGTAGCATCATAGTAAGATTTCTGTCAAAAGACACTGTCTTCATTGAGTACCGATTAAGAATGAATCTGTTTCTTCTCACAAGCCTTTAACAGCCATATTAATTATAATTTTTGTTATAATGTCTTTGTTGTCTTGTATGAATGTGTATAGTCTTTCTTTGACACATCAAAAAGAAATCACCTTGTGCTTCTTTGAATGGTTAAACCGTTTGGCATCATTTTAGTTGTCTGGTAACAAAAATAGAAAGGTGTAAAGATAACATGTTACCTAGGCTGGACTCTCCAATTGGGCAGAGCAGGCAACTGCCCAGGGCCCCCAGGTTTACTCCATACCATACACTTAAGTCTAAACAATGATTCATTCAATGTGTTGCATAACTGAATTATCATATATCATGGCTCCTCTATTTTCCATCTTGCAGAGATCCTAACAATACATTTTTGCTCCAGGGCAAACTACAAGGTTAATGTATTCATGCTTGTTACACAAAAACTTTAGTAAATGATGACAAAATGATGTTAGCTATAAGCTGTTGTTTCCTTCAGTTTGAGGTTGTACTGTCAGCATTTTTCTCACATCTGTCTTTTTGCAGATGACTTGAGAGTATTATTATTATTTGGGTTGATTGATCTTCCCCTTTGTGAATAGTGTAATTTACAAAATTAAACTTCCTATTACACCATTCAAAATAAAAGCCTAAAGTAGGGACAATACTTGTCATACCAAATACCAGGCCCAGGATCATGCATGTATTAATACTTCATTGTTGTTAAAAGCAGATAATGTACTGTCATGTAAATTAGAGAAATGCATTGTTAATGGGGTGCTTTTACCACTAAACAATTTTCCAAACAGACTTTTTTTGGTATTCTCTTAGCTATTTAATTGTGCATCTTTAGATTCAAAACCTTTTTAATGTTAAATTTAAAAACATTCTTCATTAGGCTATGTGAATTCTCTAAACTAAAGAGGTGATCACTGCACACCTGCAGGCAACAGCAACAGACGTGCAGTTAAAGCACCAAGAAAAATGTGCTTGTACCAGGATGTGGTTTCACATGCAATGGAGGCAGTTTTTTATCCTATTCATTTTATTAATGATATCCAAAATAAGGGCCTCATACTTGTAGTATAGGTACAAGTATAGCAGCACAATAGACTATAAGGTGAAAAGGCATCCTAGCAAAACCGATAAAAGCAATTTAGGTAAATAAAGATTAATTAAGACATTTTAAAAAGTAATTAAAATGCTAGGTCTATATACATTATATACTGTATGTATATGAAGCTTTTGTGTTGAGCTTTATAAATGAATTGTAAATGTGCAAATGTCTGTGGGAAAGAAATGCATAAATCCGGTTGTGTAACTCATCAGCCATGATGTGTACAGTACAGGTAAGGTGATAAATAATAAACACAATATGCCCTAATGTAGCCCGCCTGTCAGGGCACCAGTAAACTTTCTGGGACTCTGCGTTGAAATATATTCAAGCAATTAATTACATCTGCTACACTAAGATATATTTATAGTATTATATGTAGTATACAGTATCTACACTAACTTACAAAAACTTACAATTAATCATTAAACTAATTTTTTGTTTCTGTTTAATTAAACTATGTTAACTCAAAGTTCTGAGAAACTTTGGACATTCAGTGAAATATTTTACTTGTATTAAAACTGTAAAAAAAAAAAAAAGAAAAAAGGAAGCTGATTTAAGATTAGAAATACTTCCCTAAAATAAAAAAAGGCACGATAAGCACAAGCCACAAATTCAAGTCTTGAATATTGTACCTAAGCACAAGGAAGGCATTTGTAATCCAACAATATAATCAGTATATGATTCTAAAACAGACCATTGTGATGAGTTCATGAGTACCTCTGGCATAGAAAATATGGTCTGTTAGTTTTAATTTGAATGAACAATGACTTTTATTTATTATGGAGTATTTCTACACTGTGGTACTATTTATCTATGAAGCCAAATGAATCAGGTCAGCTGGTCAAACTTCAAGCATGTCTTAAAGACATAAAGGCCTGGATGACCTGCAACTTCTTACTTCTAAACTCTGACAAAACTGAAGTTATTGTGCTTGGGCCTGAAAACCTTAGAAATCTGCTGTCTAATCATATAGTTACTTTAGATGACATAGCTCTTGCCTCCAGTACTACTGTGAGGAACCTTGGAGTCATCTTTGATCAGAATATGTCCTTTAAATCACACATAAACCAAGTCTCTACATCTGCCTTCTTTCACCTGCGCAATATTGCAAAAATCAGGAGCATCCTGTCCCAAAGTGATGCTGAAAAACTGGTCCATGCATTTGTTACTTCCAGGCTGGACTACTGTAACTCTTTACTATCAGGATGTCCCAATAATTCCCTAAAAAGCCTCCAGTTAATCCAAAATGCGGCAGCCAGAGTACTGACAGGAACTAGCAAGAGAGATCATATCTCTCCCATATTAGCTTCTCTCCACTGGCTCCCTGTAAAATTCAGAATAGAATTTAAAATCCTTCTCCTAACATACAAAGCCCTTAATGACAAGGCTCCATCGTATCTTAAAGACCTCGTAGAGCCTTATCATCCTAACAGAGCACTTCGCTCTCAGAGTGCAGGTCTACTTGTGGTTCCTAGAGTCCACAGAAGCAGAATGGGAGGCAGAGCCTTTAGCTATCAAGCTCCTCTCCTATGGAACCAACTCCCAGTCTCAGTTCAGGAGGCGGACACCCTCTCTACCTTTAAGATTAGACCTAAGACGTTCCTTTTTGATAAAGTTTATAATTAGGGCTGGATCAGGTGACCCTGAGCCCTCCCTTAGTTATGCTGCTATAGGCCTAGGCTGCTGGGGGGCCCCATGATGCTCTGAGTTTCTTTCCCCTCCCCTCCTACTCTCCTCTCCTCCCCTCCCCTCTCCTCCCCTCTCCTCTCTCTCCCTATGCTTCTATATGCCACCATTACACATTACTAACTTTGTGACTCCTCTGTCCCGTAGTATGTCCTCTCACTCTCTCTCTCTGGACCTTTTTGCAGGTTGCTCTGGCCCTGGCCCTGGAGCTCTAAATCTCTGACGAGCAGTCACCAGCTACATCGACCTGACCAGTGTTTTATTTTTTGTTGTATCTTGTTGCTTTTCTTCTTTTGTCTCTCCTCTATCCAGTCACCCCAACCGGTCGAGGCAGAAGGCCGCCCACCAAGAGCCGGGGTCTGT